AGTAGCTGGGACTACAGGCATGTGCCACCATGCCCAGCTAATTTTTTCTATATATATATATTTTTAGTTGTCCAGATCATTTATTTCTATTTTTTAGTAGAGACGGGGTCTCGCTCTTGCTCAGGCTGGTCTCGAACTCCTGACCTTGAGCGATCTACCTGCCTCGGCCTCCCAGAGTGCTAGGATTACAGGTGTGAGCCACCACGCCCAGCCCAAAGCAAGAGTTTTATGACCTTAAAACTCTTATCAGAGACAATAAAAATTTATCTGACTAGTAGACCCAGGCAAAAATGTCTAAAATTCTGAGACATTTGTATTTTATTTTACTAATACCAACAATTCTAAAGTTAGCTTCATGTACCAAAAATTACTAAAGTCACATGAACTCTAAAAGCATTTGAGCTTATTTACTTAATTTATGAATATTCATTTATTTATAAGTCAATTTGGTACCATGTAGACAATATACAAATACAGACGTGAACATACAGACACAAAAATACAAACGCAAAGATCTTATAGTTTCAATTTTTACATTTTAGTCATGAGGTAAAACTCACTAGCTTAAAAAGACAGTTGTTTTAAATAGTAGCTCTGTAAGTCAAACAAGTTAAAGTTTATCTGTCGCACATGACCAAAGCCCTTACCAAGTTTCAGAAAGAACAGGGTATGAAATTTAGATCTCAAAGCAGAGAGAGAATTTAAGGTTTTTCAGGGAGTTTGGGCGCATTCGAGGAAGATTAAAAACAGATGCCAGGGTAACACAAAATCATAGGAATTCACCACAGGATTTTATAAGGAGAGCAATTTCATTAAGATAGGTAGGAAGCTTCGATTAATAATGCAGTCTCAGCTGGACCACTGAGCTCAGGGCAGAGCCCATGAACAAATAGGGACCACAAAACATTTGCAGTTTTCACATATTTAAACATGCAAAAATGAGGAACAGCTAGAAGACAGAGCATCTAGATCTTCAAAAATCAAGGATTTCACTTTAACATTTAATCTCAGGTCCCCCAAAAAGAGGGAAATGCCATAGTGATAAGGAAAACCCCCATCTATTACTTGGTGCATCAGCCACCTGAGACCCCTACCCCTCAAGGAAGACCCTCATTAGCATAATACTAACCTATTACCTGGTGCATCAGCATAACACTAAACCTATTAACTGGCGCATCAACTAACCTATTACCTGGTGCATCAACATAATACTAACCTATTACCTGACCCATCAACTAACCTAATACCTGGCTGGCATTAGCCACCTGAGACCCCACCCCTTGGACCACCCCAACTTAATAAAAATGGGAAAAATCAGGTAGATGGCGCTCAGAATTTGGTGTTGAGAACCCTCTGAGCCCGATGGC